AGGAACAAGCAGGTAATATAAAGTTGAGGTAAAGTTCAGTGTCTCAGAGTATGCTTCTATTTCCGCACAGAGCTCAGGGAGACAAACAAACTTCCTTACTGTATTCTTGTACTTGTGGGCTCATTTCTTTTCTTTTTTTAAATATAGTGAAACCTGTAAGAGTCAGAACTCAGTGGAACTGCCTTGTTTTTCTAGGTTTCCTAGGTTTCTGCCTTTGACAGGGTGCAGTCTTAGCACTTTTCTATAGTTTGTTTTAGTAGAAAATATTTGTGTTTTCCTTCTCTGACAGGTTTCTACCCCACACAGGCTCTGGCATTTTGCAGGTTTTATAGCAGTCCATCTGTCTTCACTGAGAATATACCCTTTTGAGGGTCCTGGCTTTATGTAGAGCTTTCAGCACTAACTCTCCTTTCCTCAGGAAGGTTCAAGAACCTTGCCTTTTGTGCCCCAAGTTCTAAAACCCAAGACCCTGTTATTGGCTCTGAAAACTGTTCCTCCTTACCCTCCCTTCCGAATAGTACGCCCAGTGGCTATGCCAAGGGAATAGAAAATAAAGCTGACTAGATATGACTTTGACTATCTTTCATTACTCTGATGACTCCAGGGAGGTGACACTGTCTGGAAAGGAGTAATGATTAACAATCATAAAAAGTAAAGAATTTAGTTAACAGTTTAAATGTTTCTCCCTCCCAGAAGACTGTGATTTCTAACCGGATTCAAAATCTTGTTTCAGAGGTGGAATTTCATGTGTTTGGGACACACCAAGCATGTAGGCCACCACTCATCTGTCAATTTGTCATACTGTGATGGGCTGTGTGCTGCTGTGATATTGAAAGCTAAGCCACTAGTATTTCAAATACCAGCAGGGTCACCCATGAAAGACAGGTTTTAGCAGAGCTTCCAGATTAGAACAGACTAGAAAGGAGGTCTTGGTGATGTATTTTGGGAAAAACTGGCCAGTGAAAAACTTATGGATAGCAGAGGAACACTGTCTGATATAGTACTGGATGATAAGCCCCTCAGGTACAAAGGCAGTTGAAATACAACTGAGGAAGAGCTCCTCCTCAAAGTAGGGCAGACCTTAATGATGTGGATGGAGTAAAGCTTTCGAGATCTTCACTTGCTGGTGCAGCATGACTCAAAATGAGAAGAAACAGCTGCAAACATCCATTCATAATCAGAAGGTGGAATGTACAAAGTATGAGTCTAGGAAAACCGGAAGTTGTCAAAAAATGAAATGGAATGCTTGAAGATCGATAACCTAGGCATCAGTGAACTGACATAGACTGGTATTGACCATTTCACTGGTAATGACGATGGACTCATACTGAATCAGATAATCAATCACATGGTCTACTATGCCAGGAATGACAAACTGAAAAGGAATAGGGTCGCATTCATCATCAAAAAGAACGTTTCAAGATCCATCCTGAAGTACAATGCTATCAATGACAGGATAATATCTATACGTCTACAAGGAAGACCAGTTAACATGATTATAATTCAAATTTATGCACCAACCACTAATGCCAAAGATGAAGAAACTGAACATTTTTACCAATTTCTGCAGTAAGAAATTGATCAAACATGCAATCAAGATGCACTGACAATTACTGGTGACTGGAATGAGAAAGTTGGAAATAAATAAGAAGCATTAGTAGCTGGAAAATATGGCCTTAGTAATAGAAATGACACTGGAGATCGCATGATAGAATTTTGTAAGACCAACAACTTACTCATTGCAAATATCCTTTTTCAACAACATAAATGGCAACTATACACATGGACCTCACTGGATGGAATACACAGGAATCAAACTGACTACTTGTGTGGATAGAGACAACAGAGCAGCTCAATATTATCACTCAAAACAAGACCAGGGGCCACCTGAAGAACAGATCTTCAATTGCTCATATATAAGTTCAAGTTGAAGCAGAAGATAATTAAAACAAGTGCAAAAGAGCAAAGTACAACCTTGAGTATATCCCATCTGAATTTAGAGACCATTTCAAGAACAGATTTGACACGCTGAATACTAATGACTGAAGACCAGAAGAGTTGTGGGGGACATTATACATGAAGAAAGTAAACCGTCATTAAAAAGACAGGAGAGAAAGAAAAGTTCAAAATGTATGTCAGAAGAGACCCTAAATTTGCTCTTGAATGTAGAATAAAGGAAGAAATGATGAAGTAAAGATCTGAACAGAAAATCAAAGGGCAGCTTGGGGAGACAAAATACAATATTGTAACGAAATGTGCAATGAAAGACCTAGAGTTAGAAAATCAACAAGAACACCCTTGGCATCTCTCAAGTTGAAAGAACTGAAGAAAAATTCAAGCCCTGAGTTGCAATACTGAAGGATTCTATGGGCAACATACTGAATGGTGCAGGAAGCATCAAAAGAAGATGGAAGGACTGCACAGAATCACTGTATCAAAAAGAATTAGTTGGCGTTCAACCATTTCAAGAGGTAGCATATGATCAAGAACCAATGGTACTGAAGGAAGAAGTCCAAGTTGCACTGAAGGCACTGGTGAAAAACAAGGCTCCAGGAATTGATGGAATACTCACTGAGATATTTCAACAAATAGAGGCACTTACTTGTTTATCCCAATTGGAAGTGATCCGTATTTGTCCTCATTCCAAAGAAAGGTGATTCAACAGAATGTGGAAACTAATATGACACGCAATTAATATTTTGCTGAAGATAATTAAAACATGGTTACAGTCTGGCAACTGACAGAAATTCAAGTTGGTTTCAGAAGAAGACACAGAATGAGGAATATCATTGTTGATGTCAGATGGATCTTGGCTTAAAGTAGAGAATACCAGAGAGATGTTTACCTATGTTTTATTGATTATGCAAAGGCATTCAACTGTATGGATTATAACAAATTATGGATAATGTTATGAAGAATGGGAATTCCAGAACATTTAATTGAGCTCCCGTAGAACCTGTACATAGACCAAGAGGCAGTTGTTCGAACAGAACAAGGAGATACTTCATGGTTTAAAATCAGGAATGGTCTGTGTCAGGATTTTATCCTTTCACCATACTTATTTAATCTGCATGCTGAACAAATAATCCAAGAAGCTGGACTATGTGAAGACGACTACGGCATCAGAATTGAAGGAAGAATCATGAACAATCTGTGATATACAGATGACACAAGCTTGCCTTCTCAAAGAGAAGATCTGACACACTTACTGATGAAGATCAAGGACTGCACCATTCAGTATGGATTACACCTCAACATGAAGAAAACAAAAATCCTCGCAATGGACCAGTAAGCAACATCATGATAAATGGAGAAAAGATCGAAGTTGTCAAGGATTTCATTTTACTTGGATCCATGTGAAAGCTGGTCAATGAGTATGGAAGACTGAAAATAAATATGGCATTGGTAAAGAACACTGAATGTACCACAAACTGCCAGAAGAACAAACAAAGCTGTCTTGGAAGAAGTGCAGCTGGAATGCTGCTTAGAAGTGAGAATGGTGAGACTTTGTCTCTCATACTTTGGACATGCTATCAGGAGGGTCCAGTCCCTGGAGATGGACATTAAGCTCAGTAAAAGTAGAGGGCCAGTGAAAAACAGGAAGACCCTCAATGAGATAGATGGACATAATAGTTACAACAATGGGCTCAAATATAGCCAATGGTTGTGAGTATGGTGTAGGATTGGGCAGGCAGTGTTTCCATTCTGTTGTACGTGGGGACACTGAGTTGGAGCTGACTTGACAGCACCCAACAATGACAATAACAAAAAATGTAGGAGGAAGTTTCTGAGGGCTACGACCCTACCCATGAAATCACACAATACATATAAATAGTGGCCTACTCTACCTATTAAGTAACATCCAGGTTTGAAACTATCAGGTAAATGAAGGCATGTACAATTAGAATCTACTAGTACAAAACAACAAAGAAGATGATCACTTGTGGCTCTGAGACTGTTACATAAACTATCATTGTGGAGATTTGAGCTGGGGAGTACAGTTCCCATAATACAACCTTGACTTCTGTAAACGCCACCCCTTTCCACAGCTTCGGATTCACTGCCTGTCCTGTTCGGTGCCCCAGATGGCTGACACCCTAAGGGCTACATTGTTTTTCTCTCTTGCCCCCTAGCTTCCATTGGATCTGCCAACAGAATCACCAGCAGAAGATCTGAGGGTAGAAAGAGGGTGAAGTCAGGGTAATTTATTCACTCTTCTCTCTCCCCACCTGACTGCATGGCCTGTACTCGCAGCTCCTATCAAGTAATCCCACTCTCATGGTAACAGTGCTCGCCTGGTTTGGGTAAGAGGTCCCTCTCTTCCCTCTTTAGGTTATGGATAGTAACAGCTTTTCACTGCTGTCTGGGTGTAGCACCATCCCTTTTTGGTTCATTTAATATGCCTACACCTCTGTGAACAGTCCCTTCCCCTTTAGGAGTGTGACATCTGAGAGATGTACCCAAGTGGGGAGAGGGAAGGATTCCATTTAGCCAGTCAATCAGTCAAGTCAATGGAGGTGATAACCTCCAAGTAATTATGAATTATTCTGTTTCTTCAACCACATGGGCCCAGGGCATGAGGGGGACCTGACAAATGGTTTCTACCTTGGATCTTTGTCAGGCCTTGGGTGAAATCCTGCACCTCATCAATCTCTTGGATACACAGACGCTCCCAAGATTCTTGTTTGGGCCTGGTCTCCATACGCGGTGGCTGCATGCTGCTCAGGGATGTTTTTGTTCTTCCTGCAGATGACATCCTCTCCCACAGATGTTTCTGTTCATCTGGAGAAGCTGTCACCTAGAGACAATTGGGAATGGCTGGGTTTGTGCACAACTCAATTTAAGAACTAGGATGGCAATCTTAGGAGAGCTATGTAGAACTTATAGGAAAAAGAAAAGAAAAAAATGCATCCCATTCAATTCTAAAGGCTTAAATGTTAGTTTAAGATAGAAGAAAATATGGTCACCATTGTTCAGTAGAAACTTCCAATCAGCTGTTCTTATTGTATGGACAACCCCTTGCTCTTGCCTGAAATTCTATGCTCCCAATCTCTTTGAAGAAAAGAAAGTTTTCCCCTTCCCACCTCTTGTCCTGGTTCATCCAGCTCTCGCTCCAGATCTTCCAGGAGAGCCACAGCCTCTTCAGCACTCTCCGGAGAGTGCTCCCGCACCCAGGCCTGGAGCTCCTCGGGCAGGATGGTCAGGAACTGCTCCAGCACCAGCAGCTCCACAATCTGCTCCTTGGTGTGCAGCTCGGGCCGCAGCCACTCACAGCAGAGCACCCGGAGCTGGCTCAGGGCCTCCCGGGGTCCAGGTGTGTCATGGTACCCGAACTGCCTGAAGCGTTGGCGAAATATCTCCAAGCCAGGAAGGCCCTTTTCTTTCTCCTCCTCCTCTTCCTTGACTTTTACAACCACAGGTCCCACCTGCTTCTGTGGAGGCCTAGGGCCCAGAACTGCAGGAATGCCCAGTACCTTGGTCATCATACAGACTCAGGAAACAGCCTTGCTAAAGATGGGGCTCTGTACCAAGGATAGTGGTTTCTTTAGTTTTCTGGTTCTTTAAGGACAGAGGTTAAACCTAAGAAAATATGGGTACCATAAAATTACCAAATTGAAAAACTATATTTTTCTAGTCTTTATGGCCACATTGTTAACACAAGAAACTGTGGAAATTATGGCTACCATAAAATTATCATACAATTACAAAAAACAAAAAACAAACTCATTGCCATCAAGTTGATTCTGACTCATAGCCCCCATAAGTCATAAGTTTCCAATGTTGTAAATCTTTATGGAAGCAGATTGCGTCTTTTCTCCGGGGAGCAGCTGGTAGGTTCAAACTACCAACCTTTTGGTTAGCAGCCAAATCCTTTAACCACTGCGCCACCAGAGCGCCTTATAATAATTACATTGTTCAAAATCTTTCTAGAGTCAGCTGAGAATATCCTACTTTGATTTTGTCATACCTCTATGCTCCCAAAAAGTGTAGCATGGCATAATTTTAAAATTACATTTAACTTTGCTCTGAAAACTGTTTTAGAATCTCATTTTGGTTTCTGAGATTTTAACATGCTATCCACTGCCCAATCTGTATCACCAGCCTGGACCTCTCTTCTAAACTCTGGATTCATACAGCCAACTAATTATCTACTTAACAGTGCCACCTGGATGTCCTGTACTATCAAGCTTAATAAGTCGAAACCTAAATTTTCTATCTACACCCTAAGCTGTTCATCTCAGTTAAGGGCAACTCCATCATTCTATTTACTTGGACCAAAAACCCTGGAGTCACTCTTGACCCTTCTTTCACATGCTACAGCTCTACACTCAAAACGTGGCCAGAGCTCAATCACTTCTCACTATCTCCAGCCCTTCCATCCCAGCCCATCATCTCTCCCTGGAGGGATACAGCAGTCTCCTAATTGCTTCTACCCTGTCCCCCTGTCTATTCACAAGACAACAGAAAGGGTGACCTTGTTAAAATATCACATCATTCCTCTGCTTACAATCTTTCAAGGCTTCATGTCTCCACTCAAGAGTGACAGCCAGTCATTGCAATGGCCAACTGGTTTGTATTTTAACAGGATACTAGTTGAATAAGAACTCTTAAGGGCAGAGATTTCATCTGATTTGTTCATGTCACTGCTGTACTGCAAACGTCTAGAATATGCCTGGCAGGAGGAGCTCAAATATTTGTGGAAAGAATAAATGTGATACATGGATCCTAAAGGCTACTCTTAAGTAGTAAAAACAGGTTTTGAAAATAATGTTATCAATACAAACTAAAGTTTAAAATACTTTGTAGTTTTTTACGACTCATATTTAGCTTAATGTAAAAATAATTAGAAACTGTAGAATACATGAGTTAGTATCCATACATGTATCTCTTCACTTTGTCTCCTGAGGGCCTAGAAGCAAGGATATCTCAGTACCAGTGTACACCCAGCACCCAGACCTTGGTTATTAACACTCTCTTAATAAAAGGAACTAGAAAATGGAGAAATTGCTGATTCTAGGGTTGGGGCAGGGATATACAAGATAAACACGGAGCATCTTGTAGTGCCAAAAAAGTAAGACAGTGCTCAAAAGACTGAACAATGGGGGTATATCAAAAGGACAAGAGCTAAGAACCAAACTGAAGCAATCTGAGTAGTACTGGATTACAATGTAGTACTGGGTTATAGCCAAAGTATAAGATAAATATCCCTGAGTCTATACTAACATAAAAAAGGGATGAGCGAAATAAATGGAGAAGAGGCAAATGTGTACGAAAGAATTCCAAATAATGTATGTGGATACTTGCCACAAGGAGGTGGAGCTTAGATCCCTGTCTCTTGAGTACAGTCTGTACTTAGTGGCTGGCTTGCAAAGAGGAGAGTAGGGAAAGGACTGGAGAAGAAAGTCACTTTATAATGGAGAACCACGGCACACACTATCTCGGCCAGGTGATCAGGATTAATATCACTGGTGCTAAGTCACGGAAACAGCAAGTTCTCCTGATGTGATAAGTGTGCTTCATCTTTGTGGTCTCCCCGCACCCCACCTCCCACCCTCCATAACCCCAGTCTAACCATGAGGAAAACATGAGACAAATCCAAATTGAGAGACAGTCTACAAAATACCTGATCAGTACTTGTCAAGAATTGAATGTGTCCCCCCAAAATATGTGTCATCTTGGCTAGACCAAGATTCTCAGTGGTCTGGCAGTTATGTAATGATGTCATCATCCTCCATGATGTGATCTGTTGTATTTAGGGTCCCTATGAATGGGGTGGGAGCTCTGGTGGTGTAGTGCCTAAGACACTTGCCTGCTAACCAGAAGGCTGGCAGTTCAAACCCACCAGCCACTCCTCAGAAGGAAGGTTGAGCATAGAGATACCTTCCATAGAGATACCACCTCAGAAATTCAAAGGGGGGTCGCTATGAGTCAGGTCCGACTCGACGGCACACAATAACAACAACAACATGAGTGGCGCAGTGCCTAAGGCATTTGACTGTTAACCAGAAGGCTGGTGCTTCAAACCTACTGGTCACCCCTTGGAAGGAAGATTGGGCAATCTACTTCCATAGAGATACCACCTTGGAAACCCAAGGAGGGGTCAATATGAATCTAATGGACTCGACAGCAGTGAGTTTGGTTTTTTTGGTTTTATGAGTCAGAACCAACTTGGCATACCTATTAACAGATGTGTTAATGAGGCAGGATTGGGATGGGATGCATCACCCTACTCAGGTCACAGTCTTGATCTGATGTAAGGGGTGTTTCCCTGGGGTGTGGCCTGCATCATCTTTTATTTTAGGAGAGTGAGCAAAGAGGAACCTGACTACCACCAAGAAAAAAGAACCAGGAGTGGAGCACACTGTTAGGACCTGGGGTCGCTGCATGGAGAGCCTCCTAAACCCACAGGAAGACTGATGCCAAGACACATGGAGATCTCCATGGAACACAGGGCCTACAGATGTTGGAAGGAGGCAAGGAGCTTCTCCCAGAGCTGACAGAGAGAGAAGCCTTCCCCTAGAGCTGGTGCCCTGGATTTGGATTTCTAGCCTCCTAAACTGGGTCACTTTTCAGTTTGGCAATTCTGTCTCCACAGGCTCAAAAGCTACTCGCCGAGGTTTAACATACAAATGTGTTCATTATCACCCAGCTGTTTAAAAGCCTTGAATCACTCTCTGGCATGGCAAGCGAAGTCACTCACAATCTGGTTTCAGCCTTCCCACATCACTTCCCTTCCCACTCCCTCTGCTCAATACTTGTGGCAGGATTCAATTTGTCTTTCAAGCCTCAGCTTAATAGTAATTAATCCTTCCAAAAAGATGTTCAATCTCAGTCATAAGAAAAATGCAAATTAAAGCGACAACGGAATGTTTCCACCTATCAGACTGGCAAAGATAAAAAAAAAAATCTCACAACGAATTGCCTTGACTTTTTTAAGTCAGTAATTTCACATTTGTTAAGCTTAGGAGCCCTGGTGGCACAGGGTAAAGTGCTCTGTCGCTAACCAAAATGTCAGCAGTTCACAGGAGAAAGATGTGACAGTCTGCTTCTGTAAAGACTGACAGCACTGGAAATCCTATGGGACAGTTCTACTCTGTCCTACAGGGTCCCTATGAGTTAGAGTCGACTCACCTGCAAAGGTTTGCTTTGAGTTTTATATTGAGTTTGTCCTAAAAGTTCTCTTAGGGATGCCCTTTAGGGCTTGGTTCCTGTATTTTCCTTAACAAAGTTTTCTTAAAATCAAAAAGCATATGCAAAGGAAATGGAGGCTTCATCACTAACTCCTATTAATCATGGTGAACTATGACTAAGCTATCTAGAAATGGAATTCAAGAAGCCTGTTAAGCAAAAGTTCCTGATCTATCGCAAGAAGACTTTTGGTGTTGCCAGAAGTTTCTTTTTTCCTTCTTCTTCTTCTTTTTTATGACCATTTTCCAGTTTATATGCTCTTATTAAAGTGCCCAAATTCATTCTTGAATAAGGTGAGGTATAAGTAAATCAAATTATCAGAGATTTTAATAATTTAGTAGTAAGCTTTGCCAACCAGTGCTTTAACACAGGACTCAATTAGTCTGTACCTGAAAATTCGTAGGCAGGCAGGCAAATTTAATAATTCTCGAGGCACAGAATTCTACTGCTGGGCAGTTCTTATTGTTATAAGCGCTTCCTTAAATTAAGGAGCTCTGGTGCTTAAGGCATTTGATTGCTCACCAGAAGGTTGGTGGTTCAAACCCATCAGCTAATCTGTGAAAGGAAGATGGGGCAATCTACTCCAATAAAGACTTACCACCTCAGAAACCCAATGGGTCGGAATCAACTCAATGACAGTGAGTGGTTTTTAATTCTTCCTTAAACGGAATCAATTTCTTCACACTACTTTCTACCTTCACTGATCCTAGCTGGGTCCTACCCCAATATTTTTTCCATTTAGCCTTCCAGTACCTAAAAACAATCGTCTGCCTCCTAATTCTTTGATTCTCCAGTTTATATCCAGCTCTTTCAATTGCTTTTTCACATTACACAGGTTTTCCTGGTACTTCACCCACATTCTCTCTCTGTAAAGCTGTTTGCTAGCCTGACCAGATCCCTGGTTTGTTTGTTTTCTAATCTGAACAAAACCCACGAGACTATTTCCTTCTCGGACTGGGCACTACTCAGTAATTCCAATGAGAATCAGCTTCTCACAGGAGGTTCCCAACACTTTGGGTGTGTTCCCATCACCAATGAGCCTCGCGTGAACCGACTGGACGGCACGTAGCAACAACAACGAACCACCGCGGAGAGCCAGGGTCAAAGAGAAGGCCGCCTGGGTCAGCCTGGCGGACGACTCTGCTCAGGAAGCGCACAAAGAAACTTCCCGAACTTGAAAGCTAAGGATTCATTTGTTAAAGCCCGGGAGGGTGGTGGTAGGAAAAGCCTCTAGGGAGCCGGCGCCTCCACCAGCCCTGGCTGGACAGGGACAGGTGGCTCCTCCCCTAGCCCT